GAAAAAATGGATCACATGATTACAGATAGTCCTTTTTTATATCATACTTAATATCATACTTAATCAATTATTTTGTCAAGATTGAAGACCAGCAAAACATGGTGTGGATTTAATAGTTTAATTTGTAGAATCTTTTTTATTACAGCTACAGAATTGAAAACCAGTATTGCTGGTATATATCCAAAGACTAACACTGCAACAGTTACATGGACCCTACCATCCAATAGTCAATTTATATCCAGTATTAGTATAGAAGTAAATGGTATTATAAATAAAACTAGTATAAATAACACTGCTACATCTAGTGAAGTAACTGGTTTACAACCTGGTACTATGTACAGTATTAAAGTTATATCTATAGTTAATACTGATAGATATCAAAATTACGAAGTTAAATCAGAGGCAGTACCAACCACAACAAGTAAGTAGAAGACATCTTAAGTTCAAAATAATACCATTAACATGTAAAATGTCTAATATCATTAGTCAAGAAGAAATGAGCAACTAGGGTCATATTGTATGGACAAAGAATTGAATTTGATATGCATTATTTATTACAACAATTATCATACATGTTAAACAGACATGAGAGTTTAGTAGGGCTGTAACGATTCTTGAAGTTGCGATTCGATACACTATAAGATATTCATTCAAAGATTCATTGCAATAATTATCACGATTCATTTATTAGAGAAGGAAAGAGAAAAAATAGTAGAAATTTGTAAATTACTTACAAGTTTGTCACTAATAAGCACTTGAGAACATTTAGAAGTAATCTCAATTTTTAAAGTCAGAAATGAATTTTTGCAAATTTTGATGTGAAAATCATACTTGGAAAATAAAAACATGACACAATTTCTTATACACACAAGGATTCTGTGTCATTTGTTATAAAGGGGCTAAGAATTAATCGTGCCGATACATCAATTTTTTATTCCAACGCAATGCATCGATAAGAAGGAAAGAGTCACGGTTCATTTATTCATCTGTGAATGGTTGCAACCCTAGAGTTTTGAGATATTTAGTGAATTTTCAAAAAATTTCAACATATTATCTGGTTTACCATTCCATGCGCATAATTGGATTCTAAATAACCCATTTTCTGTAAAACAATGGACAAGCAAAACAAGATGACTTTAAGTTCCTACCCTGACAATTATGCTATAAAGATAACGCGAAATGATTTACCCCAATTATCCTTAATTAAAATGACTACTTAAATGAATCAAAAGACATGATATGCTATAGAATCATATCCAATATAAATCCAACATGGATTCATAAAAATGTTGATCATTCAATAGCAGGATGCAGATTTTGGTTTAAAAAAATCCCACAAAAAACACAATCCTGAATCACCTATCAATGAAAATATCAAAGAAACAATTTTGAAAAAAAAAATATTGCCTCAATAAATATGTGCAATTTGCTTTTTTTTATCAAAAGGGAAACATTCAATTTTTCTTACTGAGAAACTAAAACCCCAATTTTTTGTTTTATTTCGGCATTCATTAATGTTCTCAGGACCAAGGAACTAGCACAGATGAAAATAATTGCTGAGTTTAATACTCTACCAATTGTAGGTTTTATTGTCTAACTAATTAAATATGAGCAGTGACTGAGGGTACAAATAGGGGTAGACTGACTAAATTGGGGGTAAAACTATCGAGGATGAGATTCAAAATACGACAGCTCTGTGGAAGCGTTAGGCAAGAAAATTATTGAAAAATACATCTGATTTGGTGTCTCCTGACACATATTTTGGGCCTAAAAATCATATTTCTAAATTTGTTAGAAATGAAGTGGGGGTGCAGTTTGGAGAACAAACCATTTTTCTAGGGAGCAAATACATACAAAAATTTATTTTATAGAATAAAAATTAAGAAATTAGATGTAACCAGATTGATACACATGTACTGGTAATTTAACATGTAATTATGCATATGATGATTTATTATATCTAGAACAACCACCTGGTAGTAGTTGTAACATGGGTGACACACAGCCATGTACTGGTAATTTAACATGTAATAATAAATATGATAATTTATTTTATAGAACAACCACCTGGTAGTAGTTGTAACATGAGTGATACACAGCCATGTACTGGTAATTTAAGATGTAATAATACATATGATAATTTATTTTATAGAACAACCATCTGGTAGTGACTGTAACCAGAGTAATACACAGTCATGTACTGGTAATTTAACATGTAATAATACATATGATAATTTATTTTATAGAACAAGAATCTGGTAGTAGTTGTAACCTGAGTGATACACAGCCATGTACTGGTGATTTAACATGTAATAATACATAATGATAATTTACTTTATAGAACAAGAATCTGGTAGTAACCTTAACCCAAGTGATACACAGCCAGGTACTGGTATTTAACATGTAATAATACATAATGATAATTTATTTTATAGAACAACAATCTGGTAGTAACTGTAACCTGAGTGATACACAGCCATGTACTGGTAATTTAACATGTAATAATACATATGATAATTTATTTTATAGAACAAGAATCTGGTAGTAGTTGTAACCTGAGTGATACACAGCCATGTACTGGTGATTTAACATGTAATAATACATAATGATAATTTACTTTATAGAACAAGAATCTGGTAGTAACCTTAACCCGAGTGATACACAGCCAGGTACTGGTATTTAACATGTAATAATACATAATGATAATTTATTTTATAGAACAACAATCTGGTAGTAACTGTAACCTGAGTGATACACAGCCATGTACTGGTAATTTAACATGTAATAATACATATGATAATTTATTTTATAGAACAAGAATCTGGTAGTAACTGTAACCTGAGTGATACACAGCCATGTACTGGTGATTTAACATGTAATAATACATATGATGATTTATTTTATAGAACAACCACCTGGTGGTAACTGTAACACAAGTGATACACAGTCATGTGCTTGTAATTTAACATGTAATAATACATATGATAATTTATTTTATAGAATAAGAATCTGGTAGTAACTGTAATTAGAGTGATACACAGCGATGTACTGGTGATGTAACATGTAATAATACATATGATGATTTATTTTATAGAACAACCACCTGGTGGTAACTGTAACACGAGTGATACACAGTCATGTGCTGGTAATTTAACATGTAATAATACATATGATGATTTATTTTATAGAACAACCACCTGGTGGTAACTGTAACACGAGTGATACACAGTCATGTACTGGTAATTTAACATGTAATAATACATATGATGATTTATTTTATAGAACAACCACCTGGTGGTAACTGTAACACGAGCCAGCCATGTACTGGTAATTTAACATGTATCAATAATAAATGTGGATGTCAAGATGATCATTACCTATATGATAATAATTGTTATCCTAGTAAGTTTTTTTTTTATATTTTTTCTCAATATTTGAATTTAAGAACAATATGCAAGTGATGTTCTTAATTGATCACAATGATACATTATGATCTCTAGGGATGATGTATTTTGAATGAAATATCAGACTCGTTTAGTCAGAAAATGTAAAATGTATCTCGAAATCAGATCAAATAGTATTGTGAGAAATTTTGAAAAACTGTATATTAGTTCTGGCTCTTATCTGTTTGACTTCCTTCAAGAATACCAGAAAAATGAGAGACCAGAGTATTAAACAGGTAATTGTCAAGAAAATTCCTTGATCTCTGAAAAGACTTAAACCGTCTGCTCAAACAATTAATAAAATAATAAATTGAATTGACAGATGACTGTGAATATCAAGTTTGTCTCAGTTATATTTATATCATCTATTCACATGTTATTCTGATTTATTTTATATTATAGAATTAGAATATAATGGAGATTGCAGTAATTCAAATGAAGCCTGTATTCCTGATTTAATATGTTATACTGCTACTTCAACATGTAAATGTAATACTGGTTATTACAGATCTACTAATCAATGTAAACCAGGTAATTATATATCTATATTTAGT